TCATCTTCTAAGGCCCTCCTTCGTGTGCCTACTCCTTGAGAGGTCCGGAGGGTGGCAACGCGAGAACGGCGCCTTCTCTGCAGTGGCTCCCTGTCTGTGGAATGCTCTCCCCAGGGAACTGATTTACATCCTATGCCCTTTTAAAATGTATGTGTTTTGTAGGAAGAGGGGGCTATTGGGGTGTTGTTTTTATTTCTATTATGTATTTTGTGGTTCTATATCTTGATTCTGTTCTGTGAACTGCCCTGAGACCCCCGGGTATAGGGCGGTATATAAATTAAATTAAATTAAAATAAATAAATAAATATTAATTTCACTTTTATGCTGCTTTATATTTTAAAGGGGGGGGGGAGTCAAAGTGGTTTACAACACATTAAAACACTGAGTAAAACAATCCTGAATAAAACAAACTCAAGTTTCAAGGGAAATATTTCAGATCCTTCTCTAAGGGACATTTTGCTTTCCCCATATTTGTTTACCAGCTTAATTTATAGAGTTGCCTCATGGCAGAAGGACTCTAGGAAACCAGGGTGGTGTAGTGGTTAGAGTATCAGTCGCCAACTTGGCAACCAGAGCTCTCCACGTGGTTGCAATCGGACCTATGCCAGTCGCAAAACGTGCCCGGCTAATTTCTAACACTGACCAAGTCTGAGGGCTCATCCAGACTTCCTGTTACACCGTCCACGCTTTAAAGCTCTGCGTCCCAGGAAAACCCGCTCTTCAACGCTGAATCGGAACAAACAGCGGTTCGGATTTCCCACGGATTGCTGTTTGTTCCGGCTCGGCACTAAAGAGCAGGGTTTTACGGGGATAGCGCCAGGGCAAAAAGAAAACATAATGTTCAGGCATGAAGCTTTAAACCGTGCCTAGAAACGCAGGACAAAAGGCAGTCTGGATGAGCCCTGCTCTCTTGCACTTTGCACACCGATAAGAAAACAACAACATGTTTATATGCGAGGGGAGCAAGAGGGAGGGACCGGTGCCTGCGAGGAACGTTCAGCTCCTGCTATGCTCAAAGGGCAAACTGGGTACAGGTTGTTTTGCCCCATGGGGCAAAGTTCAGATGAACATAAGCACTCTGCTGGATCAAGCCAAAGGACCATTGAGTTCAACATCCTGCTTACCAAATGCCAGCAGGAAACTCAAAGCAGGATACGACCACAAGAGTCTTCTCCTGTTCTTCAGAGGTGCAGCTCCTCTGATCCCAGAGGCAGCCATTACCATTAGGACCCCAAGCCATCGATTGCTCCGCCCCCCATGAATTGGTGGTGGTGGTTGTTAAAATCTGCATACCACCCTATTCCCGCAGCAGTTCGCAAGATAAAATCGCAGGATAAAAACACAAAATACATAATAAAAACAACCCAATGATCCCCTCTCCCCAACACATTTGAAAGGGCACCCGTCAGACAAAGGCCTGCTTAAAGAGGAACGTTTTTGCCTGGTGCCTAAAGGTGTATAACGAAGGTGCCAGGCGAGTCTCCCTGGGGAGAGCATTCCACAAATGGGGAGCCACTGCAGAAAAGGCCCTGTTCTCGGGTTGCCACCCTCTGGACCTCACATGGAGGAGGCAAACAAAGAAGGGCCTCAAAGGATGATTTCAGGGTCCAGGTCAGGAGAGAGGCGATTCTTGAGGTATTGCAGTCCTGATCTGTTTGTTTTGCCATTCACTACCTCAGGCATGGGACGCAGGTGGCGCTGTGGGTTACACCACAGAGCCTAGGACTTGCCGATCAGAAGGTCGGCGGTTCAAATCCCTGCGACGGGGTGAGCTCCCGTTGCTCGGTCCCTGCTCCTGCCCACCTAGCAGTTTGAAACTAGCACTTTGAAAGCACATCGAAGTGCAAGTAGATAAATAGGTACTGCTCTGGCGGGAAGGTAAATGGCGCTTCCGTGCGCTGCTCTGGTTCGCCAGAGCTGGCCACATGACCCGGAAGCTGTACGCTGGCTCCCTCGGCCAATAAAGCAAGATGAGCGCCGCAACCCCAGAGTAGTCCGCGACTGGACCTAATGGTCAGGGGCCCCTTTACCTCAGGCATTACCCCACTCATACCAAAACCAATCACATTCAGCAATATGACAACCTACATAAAAAGGGCCATTACCAAGCCTGTATTTATAAGATACACTCCTAATATCTGGAGCGCTAATACCTTGACTCCTCCTGGGCCATCTCATGCTCCTCTCCCATCTCTGACCTGAAAGAGGCCCAGATCCATACTGCAGGGGGCTCTCACTCTCGAGGGTGCAGAACTACTTTCATCCACTCAGTTCTGCATAGGAAAACCATCCTCTGCAGAGTTGCTAAGCAACCACTGTCAGGATACAGCTTTTTTGCAACCACCTGCAAAAGGGATGCCTTAAGCACCGGAGAGAAGGTGGGGTGCCTTTGGCCCTGCAGGTGGGGTTCTCAGGTTGCATTGCCCATGGTGGGGAAAACGAGGGCCAGATTTCCCTCAAAGCCACATGGCAGGGTTGGGTGGGGCCAGGAGCAGAGGTGGCCAGAGCAATGGGTGCAAATGTTACCTTCGTAAAGTTAAAGGTAAAGGGACCCCTCACCATTAGGTCCAGTCATGACCGACTCTGGGGTTGTGGTGCTCATCTTGCTTTATTGGCCGAGGGAGCCGGCATACAGCTTCTGGGTCATGTGGCCAGCATGACTAAGCCGCTTCTGGCGAACCAGAGCAGCGCACGGAAACGCCCTTTACCTTCCCGCTGGAGCGGTACCTATTTATCTACTTGCACTTTGACATGCTTTCAAACCGCTAGGTTGGCAGGTGCAGGGACTGAGCAACGGGAGCTCACCCCGTCGCGGGGATTCGAACCGCCGACCTTCTGATTGGCAAGTCCTAGGCTCTGTGGTTTAACCCACAGCGCCACCCGCGTCCGGTTACCTTTGTACTGTAGCCCAATTTCCACACACACACACACACACACACACTTCTTTCCATCGAGGCCAGGGGTCAGCAAACTTTTTAGCAGGGGGCCGGACTTTATTTTAAAGGGGGGAAAATAAACGAATTCCTATGCCCCGCAAATAACCCAGAGATGCATTTTAAATAAAAGGACACATTCTACTCCTGTAAAAACATGCTGATTCCCCAACCGTCCGAGGGCCGGATTGAGAAGGCGCTTGGGCTGCATCTGGCCCCCAGGCCCTAGGTTGCCTACCCATGATCTAGGCAAAGAAGAGAAATCATCCGAGTTGAGGGACACAGTCCAACCAAGAAAAAACATTTGGCACAATGAGGGTGTGGCTTGGGAAGGGGGTGAATGGCTTGGGGAGATATTGGAGGGTCAGGTGAAGCTTGGGGGGGCTGCAATGTTCCCCCATACCTGAAATATGCCCACCTACATTGTGTGCCTTCTAGGCATTAGTGCAAATCTGTTTAGCTTCCACATGCGCCATGTTAGAGAGAGCCAGTTCTCCACGACGACAAACCCCTCCTGGCTCAGAAAAGACGTCCACCTTTCTTTTTTTCAATAGCAATGACCCAAAGTTGCAGGCCACCCCGTTCCCAACTTAACCATGGCGGACCCTCCCTCCATTCATCTGTGCTAGGGACCCTTTAAGGAAGGCTGGTGGCACTGTGGGTTAAACCACAGAGCCTTGGGCTTGCAGATCAGAAGGTTGGCGGTTCGAATCCCCGCAACGGGGTGAGTTCCTGTTGCTCAGTCCCTGCTCCTGCCAACCTAGCAGTTCGAAAGCACGGCAATGGAAGTAGATAAATAGGTACCGCTCCAGCAGGAAGGTAAACGGCGTTTCTGTGCGCTGCTCTGGTTCGCCAGAAGTGGCTTAGTCATGCTGGCCACATGACCTGGAAGCTGTACGCCGGCTCCCTCGGCCAATAAAGCGAGATGAGCGCTGCACCCCCAGAGTCGTCCGCGACTGGGCCTAATGGTCAGGGTCCCTTTACCTTTACTTTTAGGGACCCTTTGGGCGAAGCCATAATCTTCTGTGAATCCCGAGTTTACCACGAACCAGGTCTGTTGGGGCCGCCTCACATTCTAAGAATATATGAAACGCCCATATTTGTCCTCTGATGTTTGAGGAACATCCTGTTATTTACTCAGCACTATCCGTTTAAGGCATTTTAGAACCCTTCCAAAAAAACAGAGGCACATGAGCTTCCCTGGGCACGCTCTGCCTCGTGCCGCCCCAGCTGAAGAACACGGCACTCCAAGGCTTGCCAGCAGGGAGACGGAGAACAAAATATAACAAGAGGACTGTCAACAAAGGCAGGCCACTTTTGGACATCATCTTGGCACCGAGTGTGTTTTCTTCACATGCAATATTCAGCATTCCCAAGGTCCGGGGAATGAGGATGCCATCGTACCTCCATTGAACGGAGGGGTTGGCAAGGCTTACCAGGCACGGCTTAGCACAGGGACTCTCTTCCGTGGCTCCGGAAATCGTTTCTGCGCATACACAATTTCCGGTGTCTGGGCATGCGCAAAAGTGATTTCCGGAGCCGTGGAAGAGAGTCCCCGCGCCGCGCTGTGCTGGTTTAAGGGCAGCTCATGGGCCGGTTAAGCAACCCTCATGGGCCACTTCCGGCCCATGGGCCTTAGGTTGCTGACCTCTGATTTATCGCTTGCCACTTGAAGGAGGCTACGTTTAGAAGTGAGGCCTCCAGCAATATGTCCCCGCCACCCACATTCAGTTAGATTTTTTTTGATCCACCGAGCACCCGGCACTGGGCTGTTTTGGGGTTTGTGAAGGTCTCCCTTGCTTGTCAACACTTCCAGGGTTCCAGCAAAACCTGCTCCCTCTCGTGCAAAGATGGTGTTGTTTTGGCAGTCGGGGAGCTGAAGAAGACTGGAAATATGAAGCGGGGATGGTACTTAGATGTCGTTGCTGTTGAGGGTGAAACTATGGCGATGGAGGTGTCTGGGTTTCCAGGAGTCTACCAGGAATTGGCTGCTTGGTTCAAACCAATGCAGAACTCACTCCTAGCTCCAACAAAATTAAAAAATTCCTTCCAGTAGCACCTTAGAGACCAACTAAGTTTGTTATTGGTATGAGCTTTCGTGTGCATGCACACTTCTTCAGATAAGTGTGCATGCACATGAAAGCTCATACCAATAACAAACTTAGCTGGTCTCTAAGGCGCTACTGGAAGGATATTTTTTATTTTGTTTCGACTATGGCAGACCAACACGGCTACCTACCCTAGCTCCAGTTCTACAAGAGGTATTATTAATTATTATTATTATTATTATACCACCCTATACCCAAAGGTCTCAGGGCGGTTCACAGAAAAGATCACAATATATAAAATCAAAATAAAAACAATAACTCAATAACACTGCCCGCAAAAAAGGCACATTTTAAAAGGGTATAGGATGTCAGTTAGGTGAACCAAAGGCCTGGTTAAAAGGAACATTTTGCCTGGCGCCTAAAGGTGTATAATGAAGGCGCCAGGCGAACATCCCTGGGGAGAACATTCCATAGACAGGGAGCCACTGCATGTTCTCATGTTGCCACCCTCCGGACCTCTCAAGGAGGTGGCACATGAAGAACGGCCTCAGAAGATGATTTCAGGATTCGGGTAGGTTCATATGGAAAGAGACAGTCCTTGAGGTATTGTGGTCCTAAACTTTATAGGTCAAAACCAGCACTTTGAATTGGGCCCAGAAACCAATTGGTAGCCAGTGCAGTCGGACCAGTAAGACACTATTTCTCAATTGACTGGGGTTGGGGGAATCGAAGCATAAAACAAAATGTGCTTTGTAAAAACCCTGTAGAACACGAATGAGGAACTTCACACCCAGGGGCCAAACATGGTCCTGCGGACTCCCTTCCAGGACACACCTGTTGCCAGCCCTGCTTTCCTCTCCATTGGAGTGCTTCAATAACAACAACAACAACAACAACAACAACAACAACAACAACAACAACAACAACTGGCTGGGCTTCCCCAGCCACTTCTATCTGGCTAGAATGTGTCCTTCAATTCTTCTTGGTTGCTTTTGAGTGTGTCTAGAAACTAGCCTTCTGTACACAGGTAGAATCATGGAATGGTAGAGTCAGAAGGAACCCCAAGGTCCATCTAGTCCAGCCCCCTCAGGGTCCCTTTCCAATTCTTCAGTCCTATGAGTCTACGATCCCCTTGGCTGGAGATGCACAGACTGTTAGCATTCCTGCTCTGTGATTGCAGTCATGGGATTGTTGTCTTACACATGACAGTATATGTTTTGACTCCATAGAGTGGGAAGTGACGGAAACAGGATGTTTGTGTTACTGTGTTCCGTGAAGTGGGAATTATTGTTTTTTTCTCTTTGCTGTCTAATGCTAGAGAGAGAGGGAGCCATGTTGCAGTTCCCCCTGTGTAAAGTTAAAGGTAAAGGGACCCCTGACCATTAGGTCCAGTCGTGGCCGCATCTGGGGTTGCGGCGCTCATCTCGCTTTATTGGCCGAGGGAGCTGGCATACAGCTTCCGGGTCATGTGGTCAGCAGAGCAGCTCACGGAAACGCCGTTTACCTTCCCGCCGGAGCGGTCATTATTTATCTACTTGCACTTTAACGTGCTTTCGAACTGCTAGGTTGGCAGGAGCAGGGACCGAGCAATGGGAGCTCACCCCATTGCGGGGATTTGAACCACCAACCTTCTGATCGGCAAATCCTAGGCTCTGTGATTTAACCCACAGCGCCACCCGCGTCCCGCTCCCTGTGTGTTTATATGTAAATAAAGTAGATTAGCCAAAATGCTGAGTTGCTGAGGTCTGTTACGCATGATGCACAAACTCTGCGTATCCCTCAGTGTGCCGGTGTCGGTTGGCATCGGTCGCTGTGATGTTCGGGCAGAAGAAAGCTTTTGAAGCTCCTGAACGATCGACCCGGAGGGAGGGAACATGCCAGTCAAGCATGTGTCTCTGCCAGGGTCCGACTCGAGTGTAGGCTGAGCTCCTGACACAGACATGGTTTAAAAACAGACCTGCCAACCAACCGCAGACAGGAAACAGAAAGGCACTCAGCTTACCCATGATAAGGAAACTCAGCACCCATTGTAGTACTGAGATGATCTGCAGTTGCTTCTCTACTTTAGACTTAGAGAGCCAGGACAGATCCTGAAATGCGGAGAGGATACCGGACCCCGTGCCTGGAGAGAGAGAAAGGGGGGAGAAAAGGAGAAAGAATTAGTCAGCAGGTCCTTAGCAGAAACAACAAACAGAAAATTATGCAACGGTGTCTCAAAATTCCAGTCACTTTCTGGTTGTAGGAATTAACACACGTAAACCATGGTCCTATTTACTCGTTGATCCTCTGCGTGAAAGGGGAACTGGGCTACACATCCTGGCATTAATAATAATAATAATAATAATAATAATAATAATGTATTATTTATATCCCCAGCCACTCTGGGCGGCTTCCAACAGAATATTAAAATAGTCTGTTAAACATTAAAAGCTCCCCTAAACAGGGCTGCCTTCAGATGTCTTCTAAAGGTCTGGTAGTTGTTGTTCTCTTTGACATCTGGTGGGAGGGCGTTCCACAGGGCAGGCGCCACCACCGAAAAGGCCCTCTGCCTGGTTCCGTGTAACTTGGCTTCTTGCAGGGAGGGAACCACCAGAAGGCCCTTGGAGCTGGACCTCAGTGTCCGGGCAGAACGATGGGGATCCAAATGGTCCGCTTCTTCCAGGGGTGCCCATAAGCCCCACACACCACCCCATGACCTCCAGAGAAGGACTCGGCCAGGGGTAGCCAATGAGGTGCATGGCAGAAGTCGTTGGACTACAACTCCCATCAGCCTTAGGCAGCATGGACATTGACCAGGAATGATAGGAATTGTAGTCCAACAACAATTGGAGGGTACCACTTTGACTACCTACCCCTAGTCAAAGGATTATGTCTAGAGCAGGGTTTCCCAAATTTGGGTTTCTGGCTGCTTTCCGACTACAACTCCCATCATCCCTAGCTAGCAGGACCAGTAGTCAGGGATAATAATACTAATAAAAAATTGTATTTATACCCTGCCCTCCCCAGGGCGGCTCAGGGCAGCTAACAACCAATAATAAAAACAAGTTGATTGAAATACAACTTTAAAAGATTAAAATACAACATTAAAACATTAAAATGCAGCCTCATCACAGGAGGAGAAAGGAAAAAAGAAAGAGGGGGAGGGAAGCAAACCGACTCCAAGCCAAAGGCCAGGCAGAACAACTCTATCTTACAGGCCCTGCGGAAAGAAATCAGATCCTGCAGAGACAGAGCGTTCCACCAGGTTGGGGCCAGTGTTGAAAAGGCCCTGGCTCTGGTTGAGGCTAAACTGACTTCCTTAGGGACCTCTAGAGTGTTGCTATTTATGGACCTTAAGGTCCTCCGTGGGGCATACCGGGAGAGGCGGTCCCATAGGTACGAGGGTCCTAGGCCGTGAAGGGTCAAAACCAGCACCTTGAACCTGACCCTGTACTCCACCGGGAGCCAATGCAGCTGGAAAAGCACTGAGTGAATATGCTCCCGTGGCAGAGACCCCGTGAGGAGCCTCGCTGCAGCATTCGGCACCCGCTGGAGTTTCTGGGACAGCTTCAAGGGCAGCCCTGCGTAGAGCGAGTTACAGTAGTCAAGCCTGGAGGTGACCGTCGCATGAATCACTGTGGCCAGGTCAGGGCAGAAAAGGGAAGGGACCAACTGCTTGATGCGGCGAAGGTGGAAAAATGTCGCCTTGGCTGTCCCTCCATGGAAAGGGAGGTGTCAAGGATTACACCCAAACTCTTAACGGAAGGCAATGGCACTAATTGGGCCCCCGCAAGAGAAGGGAGTTGGTTCCTCATCCCCATGCCATCCCAACTCAGCCAGAGGACCTCTGTCTTCGAAGGATTTAGTTTCAATCGGCTAACACGAAACCATCCAAAAACAGCTGGAGACCCAAGTTCTAGACCCTGCTCCCAGGCATTTAATAGTAAGCAGTGTAACAATGAAACTCATAATCTGTTTTTGGTTAACATTTGGCGATTTCTTAATGGCGGCGATTTCGTTATTTTTATAAGGTGGTGTTGCTTTAATACTATGTAGGTAACAGATTGTGGCTGTTTTTTTAAAAAAAACTTTATGTATTTGTAGTCATGTTTATTCGGCGTCCTTTTTTTTTCTTCAAAAGGCATACAAGAAATATTTATTTGTTTGTATGCTTGCTGCTCTTGGGAGCCATTGGCAGATGGGAAGCATAAAAGCCACTTGAAAAATAAATATATGCAGAACTTGTGCCTAATTTTTGCAATAAAACAGATCCAACAAGACATAACCACCCCGGCTGGATCATGCAAGAGATCAGATGCCTCTGAGATGTTCACAAAGAGAACATTAATTCAAAGTCTTGGAACTGGTATTCAGCTGGTCTAGTCAGCAACAGACCACATTGTCCGTGATAATCTGCCCAGTCTCTTTATAAAGAAGCATAAACCAGTTCTGTTCACAGCTGAAATCTACTGACAACGCCTGTGAGCACGGTCTCAACATCCTCATTTGCAGCATTCTCCTTAAAAAGGCTCACAGAAAACGTTACAAGCCCAATACAGTGGTACCTCGGTCTACGAACAGCCCTGCTAACGAACTATTCAGTGTACGAACTCCGCAAAACCAGAAGAAGGTGTTCCGGAGTTAGCGAACTTTACCTTGGTCTACGAATGTAATCCAAACGGTGGAAGGGCACCGGCGGCAGGAGGCCTCATTAGGGAAAGCGCACCTTGGTTTAAGAACAGCTTTGGTTTAAGAACGGACTTCCAGAACGGATTAAGTTCGTAAACCAAGATACCACTGTACGCAGCCTTCCTTCAACCTCACCCCAAGTCCAAGCAGTGTTAGAAACTCAGGTGTATAAGCTAGGTGAACCAGGGTTAAAGGTAAAGGTAAAGGGACCCCTGACCATTAGGTCCAGTCATGACCGACTCTGGGGTTGCAGCGCTTATCTCGCTTTATTGGCCGAGGGAGCCGACGTACAGCATCCAGGTCATGTGGCCAGCAGGACTAAGCCGCTTCTGGCAAAGCAGAGCAGCGCACGGAAACACCGTTTACCTTCCTGCCAGAGTGGTACCTATTTATCTACTTGCACTTTGGCGTGCTTTCGAACTGCTAGGTTGGCAGGAGCAGGGACCGAGCA